TGTCATATTTCTATTAATATGTAGTTAGATATTTAAAATTGCTGTCACTTGAATCAAACTGCAATCAACTAGCAAACAACTCACTCAACACTACACAGAATTAGGAATGTTTATAATTTTAAGGACACGTAGGCTAGAATAATAGCATTTTAAAAGATTATAGTTGATTATAATTGGCAAAGTGCATAAAAATTTTAACAAAACAATCAATAAGCTGTTGTAAGACTATTCAGGTTGGTGATCTAGTCTGAAGACTAGACTAGACTAGTTCCATTTCAATGTTGTTTCCTATTTTATTTTTTTTTAAATTCAAGAGCCTATTTTAGCTTTTATTCCCTGGTCTCATTTTCAGAATTCTAACATCGCTTGCTTGTGAAATACCTTCTTTCATAAATGCAGTAAATCTTACTAGTAAAACCCAAGGAACTCATGCTTCTATTGTGTTGTACAAGAGAAAGTAAAGTCACAAGGCTACACCCCTCACACAATAACAGGTAATGGGAAGGTGATTTCTTAAAGGGCATAGTCTAAAGTAATTGGCAATCTGTGATCTCTGGGGACTTCCTAATCATTTCAAGTACTACCACTTGCACCTCTATGCTAAATTTGAGAGTGTACATTAAATGAAGGTTTTGACATGCTCTGTGAAAAGTTCCCAAGAATGTCCATAATCTGTCAAGTGGTTATCACACCTGGGCATGATTGGCAGACCTTACCATACTCAGGTGAAGCAGACAAAAGCCTAGACATCAGGGACAGTCAGAGAATCCCAAGCTGACTGAAACAATAAATATATATATATTTCCATTTATGTGCAATAATATTATTTTAAAAATCTACTTATTGGCCTGAAACTCCCTTTCTAACTTACACTGATAAAACAAGCATCTGCACATACCAACAGAAAGGACAGAAAGACTGGCATCATGCCTCTTTCAGACATATCCCTAACACGCACCATTCAATTGATCCTTAATGATTTAGAAAGAATTTTTTTGTTGAGAAGAGAAGAGAAGAGAAGAGAAGAGAAGAGAAGAGAAGAGAAGAGAAGAGAAGAGAAGAGGATTTAATTTTGAATGGACTTACAATGACCATGTGGTCCAATTGCCTGACCAGCTGAGGGATGACCAAAAGTTAAAGCATGTTATTAAGAACATTGTCAAAATACCTCTTAAACACTGACAGGCTTGGAGCATTGCCCACCCCTACTGGAAGCCTGTTCCATTGTTTGACCATGCTCTCAGTAAAAAAAAATTATTCCTATTTTCCAGTCTAAACCTCTCTTGACACAGTTTTGAACCATTCCCATGTCTCCTATCACTGGGTACCCAGGAGAAGAGCTGAGCACCTCCCTCCTAAGGAAGCTTCCCTCCCAAGTCCCTTCCTGAGGAATCTGTAGAGACCAATGAGGCTTCCCCTCAGCCTTCTTTTCTCCAAACTAAACAAATCTGAAATCCTCAATTGCTCCTCACAGGACAGGTGTTCCAGCTCCTTCACCAGCTTTGTTGCCCTCCTCAGGATGCATTCCAGGACCTTTGCATCCTTCTTAAAAGCTGGAGCCCAGAATCACACACAGTAGTCAAGGTGATGCTGCACCAAAGGTTCACCTTATGTTGGCTGCAGTACTGACAGCAGTGGAGATTTGCAGGCAGCTACAACAGGTTGAATGCAACCAAGGTGCTTTGTGGCTGGGTCTACCCTGCAGAAGATCAAATTTCTGCCAATGGGTACTAGAGACTCACAAGGGGTCATGGTGACCTGGTTCATACCTCTCGGCAGTACAAGGACATCAAATACAGTACCCAAACTGAAGTTTTTTTCTCTCTGCTTTGCTGCTCTGTCAGCATACAAGATTTGTGTGTTTCATAATGAACAAAACAGAAAGTCTGTCTTCCTCTGGACAGCATGAATGAAAACCAGAGGAAAGCTGCCTGGCAGCAACTGTTTGCAGCAACAGTGACACCCTGATGCAATGTAATGACCTGTGAGGAAGGATTTTGTTTGTGTCAGTTTAGATGTTCTGTCTTGTTCTCTCAATAACCTTTCTGACTACCTCTGGGTTATTTGAGCAATTTAGACAATTATCTCTAATGCAGACATATTGTCTTCTGGAAAACAAGAATTTCTACAGAAGCTCTATAGATAATAAAAAAATCCCCGATTTTAACCTTTGTCATCATTTCCATCCACTTAAATGTATGTTTAAGCTGTAAAACTGTTTCCCAGCATGCAAAAGGCTTGAGTGCCAAGTTATGCTTGCAAATCAGACATTAAATATGCAGATCCTGTGACATGGAAACTGAAACGTACATTTTACAAAGATATGCTGGCATTTGAACATTTTGTTTTTGGGTGATCTTGAACATCACCAGTGTGTGTGCTTTTCATCATTCAACTATAAAGCCATTCATCAAAAGGGGGTTTTGGTTTTGTTAGGTTTTTGGTTTTGTTTTTAGTTGGAATAAAAAATAATAGCTCTGTGCAAATTTGGGAAAGTCAATAGGGACACAGAGCTATAATTGACAGTAAGTACTACCCTGATATTGCTGGGCATAGGGCAGCTAAGGGAGCTGGTAATGGTCAGAGCCTCACACTGCATACTGAATGGACCTGTGGTTTCCAGTAAACTGATGCTTTTGTAACAGTGCAAGATGATTCATAAATATTAAAAACCTATGAGAGTTCATGTAAATACATGCTAACTGAGATGCAGTTTCTTGAAAAAGAACTGAAATTAAAGAAAATATTTACTAGCAAAATGTATGAAACATTACCCTCACTTTAACGTATAAAATGCTTTCCCAACTTAGTTATGGCGGAAATCAAGACCCAAAGTATAACAAAGTTTATTTCCAATGTCTACTCCCTTTAGTGTGGCTAGGAATAATCCTGTATATATTTGTTTTTTTAAAAAAGGGAGACATGGTCTCCCTTTATACTCCTGAACAATTTGGCGCAAGAAGAAACCAGAGAAGAAATGGGAAGAAATTGAGTCCACAACAAGACAGAAGAGGATCTTCTTCCTCTGATTCCTCTGAGAAGCTCACTTAAGTAACTACAAGCTCTTATTTTATTTCTATTTCATACGAGATGTTTGGAAAGTTCATTATTCTTCCGTTCCTCCTTCCTGTAAATCCAGAGCAAGCGCCTTTAATCTGGAAGGGGAAAATAGAGTTAAAATACAGAATAATCAATTTTTTGATTCATTCTGAGGATGTATTTTTTTTAATTTAATTTAGCAAGGATGTTCTGGTTCTAACCAAGACTTGGGTTCAAAATATTTTACCTCCTCCTCTATTTCAGCTGATAGTGAGTGGTAAGCCAGGACAGGGAGGTAACTACTGGATCCCTGAGAGCTCCTGTGGGAGTGCTCCAAAGGCACCTGTGAGGCCAGAGCCACGCTGAACAGCAAATAAAATTAGGCACTACACATCCCTTGATGATGGTTTGGTTCCCCACCATTTGGCCACCATGACCTGCTCATCAAGGCTGCCTGCAGACCCCCCACTGGCAGCTGGCTCACACAGCATCCTCTCAGTGGGTACCCAGGACAGGGTTTAGGAGCAACCACTTCATACCCTGGTACCTCCACAACACTCATTCTAGATACCTTTATCTACTGCCAGCTATCAACAGCCAACACTAGTGTGAGTAAGCATCTTTCTTAGCATCAGTTTACATCCTGGAACATACCCTTTTACTATTTACTACATCTATTTACTATATGTGCTTATGGAGTGAGTATGTACACTTACAGAGTTTGCATATTGGAGCATATCCTTCTACTATTTACTACATATGCTTATCTCAGTGCAGCAGTGGTGCTGAAGCACAGCTTGTATATCAGTTGCAGGTTGTGGATCCAACAGCTTGGTCTGCATTTGCTCTCATAATTTATGGGACAATGCCAATTCAAAATCACAAGTCATAAACAGACATATTTACTTGCAGTTGCTAATAGCGCTGTAGATTGGAATAAAGTACTTTTAAAAGCTCGTTCACTTATCTGCACTGAAGTTCTCCTTTTTTTTTTATTTTGTTCTTTTCTATTTCATTCAGTCTAAGGAATGAAAATGTAAAAAGGTGTCCGAAGTTTGTTTTTTTTTTTTTTTTTTTAATATTTATCTGCTTAAAAACAACTTTAACAGGATTTATTTTTAGTTGCAAAGTACTCCTGAGGACGTCAAGTCCGGTAAAAATCTTCCTTCAGTGACATGTACATGTTTTCTGGATTCTGTCAGCTGTTTGAGATAAATGTGACCCGCCGATGGTCCTCATCAGCAGAATGCTGCGAGTGGCTTCCATTTGGACCAGGAAGGAAAATCATCTGCTGGCGCCGCTCTCTGTGAGCCACGCTTCCGCGTTAAAGGCACGGCTGAACGCGGTTTTACTACTTTTGATACGAATAAGCGCAGTCCTCAGCTCCCGGCTTCTTACTGATGCTCTCCCCAACGACACCGAGCGATCGCTGATAGATAAGCGGCATTCAGCTGTCAAAACGCCGGCTGCCCTTCAGCATAGCATGCCCAACTTTCGCTCCCCATCCCTGAGCTCCCCTTCCCCGCCGGGTGCCGCGGGAGGGGGG